TGTTGTAGTATTTTACATTGGTGGCCAGTTAGTTTGTTTAATTAGTATTTGTTTAATGAAGTGCATAGGTAGTAGATTTTTTGTTATGTCAGTAGCAATTTATGAGTAACTATTAGTTTAGGCTTTAAATTTTTTCATTGGCTATGGCAAAACAGTCCCATTCAGATTATTATTTAGAGTCCCTAAAACATCACTATATTACATTATATCAGTTGTCACTTTGTCTTGTTACCTGACTGCATGAGCTTGCCAGTAAATAGGCCCAGATCACTGAAGATGCACATAGATAAGGTATATTATTTCAGTTTTTCCTACTGGAGAAATTATACTGCCCACCGAATGTAGGAAAAAAGTATAAACTTGGTATGTATGTTTTGCTGCTAAAATGGAGGTTGTTTTTTTAATAAAAAAAAGACTATCTAGAAAAAGCAGTGAGATGTATGGTACAAGTAATTACTCAGAGATATCCTCCATCTTCTAGATACTACAGATTTGTAAAATTGGATATCTCAAGGTAGAATCTAGCCTTGCATTCAATAGGTGCTCAAATAATTAGGCCTTATATAACTTTTGTTTTCCTGCACTTCAGATGTCTTTCTATATAACCTTTACTATGAACCAGAGGAACTACTGCAGAGATGCAGGTGGTATAACTGACTCTTATCATGGAAATTTCCAGTATAACCAATTTAGAGCCTGCACAACACAACGCATCTAGAGCTGGGGTTGAAAATTAAGCCTCACATCTTTTATCAGTTATTTAGAAACAAATTTGTGAACAACTTCATTGTTTCTTCCACAACCTGTATTGTAGTTCAGGACATTCTTTCTCTTTGTTCAATGAGAATTCAGTTTTACACAACAGATAAATATTACTTCTCAGGCACCTATCTACAGAACCAAGGGCCAGACCCCTAACCTTGAGGTCATGACCCCATTTGGGGTCACAACGATAAAAAATGGGGTCACAAAGCCACTTGGCAGTGTTGACTAATTATGATGAAATAACATTAAATAGAGGGACAGGTTCCCTTTGCAGACTGGCAGAGTTCCAGGGCTGCAGGGAGAGGCTGCTGCATACACTACTGGGAAGGAAGGCGTGGGGGGGGGCTTGCATCCTTCAGATCTGTGTGCAGGAGGCACAATTGTACACCGGTGCTGCTGCTGCTGCCGGACAGGCAGGGAGCACCTCATCATGGCAACACAGTCAGCATAGGGCTCCTGGCAGTAGCACTGAGCCTCCCCACGCCTCTCTGCCCTCCTACACTGGGTCCCACCTGCTGGGCTGCGAAGGCCCCCAAGGGGGAGGCAGCATGATGGGTAACCCTGAGCCTACAGCAAGCAGTGCTGCCTGCCCTCCTCTCCCACACCCCCCGAGCTGTGCTGCCCAGGGATTGATCTTGTCTGCATCATTTTGGTGTTGCAAAAAATATCCAATGTTTAAATAGGGTCATGCTGAGAAAAAGGTTGGGGACTACTGATCCAAAGCAAGATATAAATGGATTTTAGGTGCCTAAGTCCAGAACTGTAATTTCAAAAAACTTCCAGTCACTTGCTGTCTATCTCTGGAAGCACTGAAATTTGCTGAGCACTCTCCTCCCCTTCCCCCTCACCCCCTGCCATTTGACTTTAATGTTCCCCAGGCTCCTGCACATGTGCAGTTCTGCTTCTGAAGAAGTCTGGAACATGTCCAGCTTCATATACATCTGTCAAGTTCTCCTACGTAGGTCCCCTAAGGAACTCAACCTGATCATTGTTCTCAAACCCAAACCAACAGGGTCAGGTTTAACTGCCCAAAGTACAGTCGTGGCTCCTGTCTTTTACAACATGACCCAAAGAGAAAGTGATGTCAGTATGTCATTACTATATTAGTCAAAACAATTGGCTGGGAAAAGGGAGACCTGGTTTAATTCCCTTATCTTGATGTTCAAACTTGCAGTGCCCAGGAGAGTGACCAGACAATCAGAGCATAGACTGTTCTGGGTGAGGTCCTGCAACCTTTATCCCTTTTATAGAAATTGTACCATTCTGCAGCAAAGAACTCAATATTAATTGGGCTAGAGAGAGACAACACAAGCAGGAGGAGTGGTTAGGACAGTCACCTGGGAAGTGGGAGTCTTGGTTCCCAGTTCATGTATTTTATCCAATGACTGTTTAATCCAAATTTTACAAAGTGTCTTTGAGCAGAGACGGGAACCCACATGGCTGACCTGCCTACTAACTGACAGCCTAGTGGCTAGGGCAGTAAGAAGTCAGAGGACCTAGGTTTTAACCTCCTTGAGCTGTAAAGGGAACATAACACAAGTTTCCTGCTTCCATGGGAAGATCTCCAACTATTGGGGGGGGTGCTGTAGTCACTAAACTATGTCACAGAGTAGGTGGAGGGTGACATTACTGCCACTTTCTTCTCTGCTCAAGATACTTTTGGTTAAAACTGAACCCTTTTTTTGAATAACAAGTTGTGACTATCTTCAAGTGCAGACTTACTGTGGAGTGCAAGTGGACAATGTTGCCTAATGCCACGGGAAGGGTGGGCTATCAGGCATTCTTCTGTTGACAGTGTTTCCTCGTTGTGGCCAGCTCTATGAGAGTCTCCATTCAACGGGCTGGCAGTTTTGGCTCCCGTTCTGCCGTGTGGTCTGCATAGGGAGCCCAGGTGCCCAACACGAGGTTCTGAATTCCACTCCCAGAGCACAGGGTGCTGGAAAGTTAATGTTGTATTAATTATTATTGGATCTAGTCTGAACTAGATCCAAAGAAGAATGAAACCAGAGAAAAATAAGCTGTTCGTGATATTCAGCGTACATTGATGGCTTGCTTTTGACATCCATTTTTCTCTGACAAATCTGTTAAGACTATTATGACTTTTACTCCTTTCTTAGCAAGGCAAGCCCCAACAGCGAATATTTTTCAGACCAGGTGCTTTGTCCAAGCACCAGAATAGGCCTGAGTCTAATAACCATCTCTTGTACAATGGGATCCAATTTTCTTTTTGTGAGATGGTCTCTTTGTATCTGTGGTGAGGTCTTGCAGCACTTAGTTAACAGCATGGCAGTCCTGTAAAATTCGGGGCTCAGTCTTCAAGGTTTCATCAGAAGATCTTTTCTTTAATAGTACGTAAGTAACTGACCTTCCTAATCCTCAAAAGAGCATTTTGCCAGTTGTTTTCAGTAGGAAAGATGGTATTGTTATAAGTTCTTTCCTTGTTTTTTTGCATGAGAGGAGGCACCCTTTCAGTTCCTGAGTAATCCCAGAGTGCATCCCTGCCTCGTTATTTGAGCTAAAATTTGTCTTAACTCTCTTCCCTCCTCACCCTTTTTTTTCAAATCACAAACTCTGTGGGAGAGACATGTTCCCATTTTACGATTAACACACAAAGGGGATTTGGGATCATCCACAAATGTAGCAGGTAAGTAGCAAAGGTAAAGGCCAGTGGTTTTTGTAATCAAGGACCAAGGTACTATTCTGAGCTCTCTGCTGTGTCGGGTTTATCCAGTGTTCATGTCTGTCAGCTAAAATGTCAGTTTGCCACAACACTGTCACAAATTAGAAGGCAAATCCTGCTGTTCTCTGACCAGTTGTTTCCTTCCCTTATTTTAGCCCTCCCTTAGCTAGCGGGTGAGGAGTACTGTGCCTAGTCTCCTGTCATAAGCTGACAAATTGGCTCTCTCTCTTCTCTCTCTCATTTTCTCACTGCTCTTATATTTTCCCTTATCGTTTTTTCTTTTCTCTTTGTTTCCAGCTCCATTTTGCTTGAGTCTTCTTTTCCTTCCCTGATCCTCTTCCTCAGAAATGCCAGAAAGGTGCACTGCAACAGAGTTCTGAAATGTGGGTTGGTGGGCTGCTTGCTGAGCCCTCAGCATCTCTGATGTTACAGCCACAGGGAAAATATGAAGGGAAGCAGGGTCACTTATGAATTGTTCCAGGAGTCGTTAGCTGTAGAGGTGATGGTAGCACACTCAGGGTGCAATGCACACTGCTGCTCACTAGCACACTGCTGACCAGCTAGACTGCCTCTGGTACCCATAGGGCACATCTACACATTGCCATACGGTGCCGTTGCTATGGTGCCGTGCTTTAGCACTTCTGTTTGGAAGTATTAAAGCACAGCGGAATATGGGTGGTGACTGCACCGTGTGCACGGCGCAAGGGTAGATTTCGCCTCTATGTCACTATAGCAGCATGCTATACATGGGGAGCATGCTACTATTGCAACTTAGCTGGTGGTTGCGTGTAGACACATGTGATCACTCTGTTGCCATAGCATGTTGTATGGCAATGTAGCATATCGTTACATTGTCGTAGGGTGACCTGTACATGCACCCATATTAACTTGTTTAAGGCTAATTTAGGTAGCTCTTCAGCAGGGGTAGGCAACCCTTGCCACGTGTGCCAGTGTGTGGCATGCAGGACATTTTGCATGGAATGCACGCCTTGGGGTAGACAGCGGGGAAGTGGCCAGGGCTGCACTGCTGTAACAAGGATCAGGCCCCTCACACCTCTCCTGCCCCCAGCATGCCAACATCTTGCAAAACAAAGTTACGACCATTTTTTGGCACTCTGCCCAAAAACACTGCTGACCCCTGCCCTATGGGATGATTCTGTCTGCAGTGCAGCCCTATCCCTACTGTCTTTGGAGGTGAGGATTTGGGTTCTATGGCATTTTCAAATCATCATGGTCTGCAAATCCTATTCAAATGTTATAATCAAATCTCTTTGTTATCATGCATATAACTGAATTATAATGACTCTAATGAGTGTGATCTTGCTTTTTGTACTAAAATGTGTCATAGAGACTTGCTATCTGTAAAACACCTATTTTAACCATTTTTTCCTTAAAAAAAAATCATATTGATTTAAATGCCAGGCTTCTAAAGTGATCCTGTGGAGAGCGAACTGTAATGAAGGCAATCTAAAAAGCTATGCTTAATTTGCTTATTTATAATGGATTCAGGCTTCACAAATGAACAGTAAATAATGGTAATTTTATTTCTTTTCAGCGTTCAGGTGGGGCCTTAGCTATTCCTTTATGTGCATTTCAAGGAACTGTATCTCTTCAGGCCCCCACAGGAAAAACTCTCTCTTTATCTACATATGAGGTAAGCACTGAAGGGCAAAAAATAATACCCACATCAAAGAAAATTGAAGTGTATCGATCAAAGAGCGTTGGTCATGAGCCAAACCCTGAGGATTCTCCTACTACATTTGCTGACACAAGTGTCAAAATTCATTTAGAGGTTCTGGAAATTTGTGACAATGAAGAAGCCATGGATACTGTGTCTATCATCAGTAACATCAGCCAGTCCTCTGCTCAAGTCAGGTCTCCATCCTTGCGCTATTCACGGAAAGAAAATAGGTTTGTTTCTTGTGATTTAGGGGAAACAGCCTCCTACTCACTCTTTATACCTTCAAACAATCCTGACAGTGATATTAACATATCAATTCCAGACACTGTTGAAGCTCACAGGCAAAACAGTAAAAAGCAGCATATGGAGAGCGATGGTTATCAGGAAGAAATACAAATGTTAAATAAAGCATATAGAAAAAGGGAAGAAGATAGCAACAACAACTAGGAGGCATTAATCTGGCAAAACTGATGCTGCTTCTCTGAATCAGCTTATTCTATCAAACACAACAATAACTGTTTTCTTTCCTGTAACACGTAACTTAATTTTGTTTGCTCATATCATCAGTGAATGTTTTAATGATGTATAGATGGAAAAACAGTAAATACTTAAGTGCTTTTATAGCATTTACTAGAGAATTTCAACACAGATAACAGGTTATTTTTTTAAGTTACTGTAATTTTTAAGACCTTTTCTATATAAATGTGTACAAAGCACTTTGTTTACTTGTTGGCACTAGGAACCCTACAACAATGAAATGATTAAATCATTCCCATCTAAGTAACAAGTCTTTACATTTTTTGTCCTTTGGTTGCAATTCTGCTATGCCATACCTGAAATATTTACTAGAAAAATGTAGCAAAAACCAGAGGCCAATCTATGTATTTGGCTATGTACAGGATTTTAGAAAGTCTAAGGGCACTTTTGCATATGCTCTGGGGCTGGGGGAGGGGGGGAAGGGAGGGCATGGCACTTTAATTAGAAGGGCTCTAAGAGCTGCTGTAATTAAAGTGCTGCTGCATCTCATGAATTGGTGTACCTGTTTTTAAAAATAGTGGCGGGGGTGCTTGAACTAAAGCTCATTAGATGAGCTTTAGATAAAGCACCCCCACTGCCATTTGGAAGCGTGGGGACACTGATGCATGAAACACAGAAGGCTCAATTAATCGCTGGAATTCCAGCATGTCAGAGGAGCCTCCACACTCATGTATAGGTGTCCTAAGTGCTTTAAGTTTTCACTTTTTTGTACACAAATCGTACATTGTGCCTAAGTAACTGGCCATCATACCAACTTAGAATCTGGCTAGCTGAAATATAAGCATGCACATGTAAGTAGATAACTTGCATTTCACCAAAGTTCCAGTGGTTTAATATGGCTTTTTACAAGTGTGACAATTATTTGGTTTATTTATTTATCCCAGAGAATCTAAGGAACCCCCATCCTACTCCCTCACGAACAAAGACATGTTCTGACCGTATGCAATGTATCCATACTTGATCCATACAATGGTCACATTGGAAATTTTGAATAGAGCCAAAACACCAATTTTAATTTACTTAAAATGCAATTGTCTGTATCTTCAAAAGTTATCAAGGCCAGACTCAGCCTTATACAAGTACTAGTATAGGAACTGAAGGTATTTTACACTTCTCCTTAGTAGCGGCTATTGGGGACTCATAAGGTCCGTGACACAACCTTGAGTCACAGCTGCAGTAGTTCTGAATATTGTTTATAATCTTTTATCTGTGGAGCTCTTCTTCCAAGCATGTGTCAGTCAGACATTTGAGTTAAATAGGGGTAAAGGTCTAATGGTTCAAAATGTTTAAAACAGTTTGGATAAAAATCCAATTCCCTGTCAATTAGTCAGGTTTCATTCGCATGCTATACATAGGATGGATTACACTCTTCTATATCTGCAATCATATACAGTTTTCCAAAGAGAAATCAAAAGAAGGTCTGATTTTCTGATCAAACATAGGAGGAGAAGGAAATAAGCAGAAACTTTATTTTAGGTATTCAGCAGAAATCACAAGCCCACTTTTTTCAGTTAACCTGCAAGATGGAGGGGTGAATGCATATTACCTGGTTCCCTTCTCTTTTAAAGCATCGTAAATCAGGACTTACTTGACTGTAACACTTTGGTGCAGATAATTCCCAAGACTCAATATTGCTGAAATGAAGATGGATCACTCCATGCTTGGAGTTGTGGTCTTCATATATTGTTATATTATAGAAAAACTAACAGTGATTTTCAGACCCATTGTAAAGTTCTGTGGGTTCTAGAAACACTCTAGATGCTCATCTATTTCAGACTTAACTAGAAACTATATTGTAAAGAAACTCAGCCCTCTATTTCATAAAAAATATTCAATTTTCTTCTTCTGGTTTTAAGCACAAAACAGACACTCTGCCACCTTTGAAATTATTCTTCGCTTTGCTTTCTACAGGAAATGAGTAGGGCCACATACTGATATCATAAATGCTTCTCAGTTTTATTTCAGTTGCCAGGTTTGTATTTATCTTGCTACTGCAAGTCTGGGGGCTCCACAAGGAAATGCAGCAGTCTTTAAACCTAGAATGGTTTGCTTGGAAAACAGTGAGGTAGTAGCCTTTCTCATTGTGTTTCACAGTACAGGAAAACTCCCAGGTAAACAAAAGCAAGTGCTTTCCCTGGAGCAGCAATGTGTTGTCTATGGGCCAAATGGTTCAACACCCAAGACATTGGTAATTGAGCTGTGACTGAAAAACTGTACAAATGGAGTCCTCAAATGTTTCCTTTCTTTTTGCTTTGACACGGCTGTATATTCTAGTGCTGTGCACTGGATGTTTTCTGATTACATGGACATAGGTCAGTGTTTTTATTTATTTGACAAGTTACCACTATCCTAGGCAACATTCCCATTGAGGCAACATACCTCTAGGTGGCCTGGGCTGAAGGGGCAATGTTTTTATTTCAGAGAATCAGAAAGTAGTATTCCACCACTGAGGAGTTGTTTTATTCGTTATTGGTTTGCTTGCTTGTCTCCCAAAGAGGGACTGGAATTGTGTTTAGCATATGAATAGATGGTGTGTAGAATTCTGGTGGGCATGTTTAGGCAAGGTTAAAATTCAGATGAATTAAAATGTAACATAAATGTCACCCTCAACTTGACCTAATTGTAAAGTACTGTTTTGCTGGTGTATAATAAAAAATACATTTTCTTTAATTATGTCTGTAAATTTGCTAATGTACTTAATGCCTAATTATTTTATGGCTTGCTTTAAAATGGTTGATACAATTAAACATTTTAAACAGTATGAAACCCCAGTCTTAATTATTCAACAGACATGAGCTACTGGCACATTGCATTAGAGACCTTGACTCATTCTCTCCTGCTTCCAGTATTAATATGTGCTGTAAACTGTTCTCACGTAGCATTTTTAAAAATGCTTTCACAATAAGTAGTGAAAATATTTTTATCCCTTTCTTGACTTTTTTCTCTGGATGACCTTTATATATGTCAACAACAGCTTGACATTTGAGGACAGAGAGATGGTTGTCAAAGTGACCTTTTGAAGGTGACTTCAAAGAGAAGAGCTCCATCTGTGTACAGGAATCCCAGAGGCAGGAACAGAAAAAAAATCATCAGGAAAAAATAAACTGTATCTAGCACCTGACAGCATACAGGACTGATGTGACTTTGAGTACTGAATAATACAAAGCACATAATAGCAGAAGCTGTGAAACAGACTCAGGCCAATCTCTAGAAAACAGAGTATTCACAGGCCAGATACTTCTAGCGACACCAGTGTAAGTTGGAAGTAATTCTAAATAAATAGAACTACAACTAAGGTAAACCTGGCATACAGGAGTTCAGAATCAGGTCCTGTATGCCCTATCACAAAGTAATATGATATTTCTTTATAAAATAAATACACCTAAGATACTAAAACCTATACTGTAATCTTGATGTAAGGTAAATAAAAACATTCACATAATTTTAAAATAGTAATGATTTCCTGTAAATTAATGATTAAATGCTACTTCTAAATTCTTTTATCTTTATAGGTTTTAGGTTAGCACTATAATGATATCAAAGGTGAGTGTTTAAATATTTTGTTTCCTTCTCATAATCCTGCTTTTTTAAGATCAAACAAAATGTCTCTTTGTGATTACAACACTGATGTACATCTCCTGTACTTCTCACAAGATAGTTTAACAAGGTCTTTGTCCTTACATGCATAATTCTCACTCACATAGACAGGCCCACTGACTTTTGTCATCACTATTTGTATGAACACAGATTATCCACTAGAACAAGAATTGTGGAATTGGGTCTTTTCTTAACATGCTGCTTCATTTTCACAGCATGTGAACTAGGATTTTCATTGTACTACAGAGATTAATCTTAAATTCTGTCTTTTCACATTATACTAGTGTAATAATTTTCATTAAAAATGCCACTTTATTTGATGGGATTCTCTCTCTCCCTTTAAACTGCTGAAAGGAGTGCATTATCCTTCATCTGCTCTTTTAGGATAGGCTACTCCACAAAGAAACTACCCTGTATGTGTTCATTATTTTACAACAAGATAATGTACTGCTGACTTGGACACAAAATGAATATGAACAGCAACCAAAAGAAAAGGAGCTTGAAAAAAAAGCATAATAGTTTTCAACTTACTGAGATTACACCAAGAAATATATTCCATCCACATTAGAAAATGATACTTATGTGAATAACGGCACATTTATTAGCATTTTTGGCTCTTAAGTATGTTTAACCACACTGACGTATTTGCATATATTTGTTTGACTTGATTTTTAAAACCTGCATTTTTTGTATTTTTGTCCTAGTGTAGGAAAATGACTGAATTGTACTTGTTTTCCTCATGCAGACAGAAACTTCCAGAATGAGCTGATGTTCCATTGAATTTAAGCATGTGCATTGCTGAAGTATCGTGGTCACCTGGACTAATTTGATTGCCTGTTCCCCAGATTCATGAGAAACAAGGACCCAGTTGTTGCAACTTCCAGGGGCACTTTCTTCAGTCCCACTGCTGTAAGTTCAACACTGGGAGCATACAGGCATTCAAATCAACAGGTGGAAATTAAAACACTTTAGATAAAGCAGTTGAAAACCCTATCAGTTTCTGGTTGTAGAAGAAAGCATCTGTCTGGCTGCCTGCTCTACAGACTGACTGCACAGTAGAGGGCACAGTCAGGGCACCCCAGAGCATACATCAGACCTGTTTTGCAGGCTCCGCTGCCTACCTGGAGACAGGCTCCTTCCCTGCTGTCACCTGTCAGGGCTGACTGCCTGTGACCCGAGGGGACCACACTCCACTGCTCACAACACCCGCTCCCTCCCAGCCTCTCAGCTGTTAGGTTACTAGCTGAGTCTTTTGAAACTGGGACTCTGGCCTCAGAAGCGGGGGGTGAGGGCTGATCATAGTGATCCTGGGTCTCTGGCTGTGGGAAGCCACAGCTTCTGCAAGAGCTCAGGTCTCTCAAGACCTGCTAGGGGGAATATCTCCCCTGTGCAGCACTTCTAGCCTAGGCCTGTGGCCCTGCATGTGAAGCTCCAGGTGTAGGTATCTCAAGTGCCAGGCTCCCCCCTTCCCTACCCACAGCACTTCAGAGCTGGAGCTGGAACTCACCCAAAGGACGGCAAGAGTGCTTCTACCAATGGGGGAACTGTACAACCATTTGTTTAACAGTCTAATCACTATTGGTTCAGAGTTAGAGTTCATCAGATCAGGTCTAACTTTAAACTGGGTGCACTATCTTTAGAGCAGA